TTTTAATTTCTATCATTATAATTATTTAAAACATCAAACATTGTTTTTTATTTTAAAGGTAACAATATAATCATTTATATAGAGTTATATTTAACTGTTGTTATTGTAAGTTATTTTAAGCTACTTATTTGAAAACTTTTAACGATTATATAAATATCTTTAGGAATTATTTTAGTTAAATTGAGATTATAATTCAGTTTTTGCATTTAACACTACAATTTATCACTTTTAACTATTCACAAAATATTTATTGAGTTTTTTAAGCGGAACTGAAATTTATATTTAAGTTGACATTGTAATGTTATATTTAAATTAACAATTTAAGTATTTTATCCAAACTGTTCAATAGTTGTAGCTTTAAATTGATAATGGTTTACATACAACAACATCTTAATCTAATAAATTAAGTATAATCTGTGAAAGTTTAAAGACATAACTTTATAAGTAGAAGTAAAGACATAACTTTATAACTATTCACTTTAGGTTTGATCTTTATTTAACCTTATTAAGCAACTTATAATCATTTTTAGAAAGACACTATAATTTATCATTTTTAACTATTTACAAAATATTATTTGAGTTATTTAAGTTAAACTGAAATTTATATTTAAGTTGATCATGTAATGTTATATTTAAATTTATAATTTAAGTATTTTATACAAATTGTTCAAAAGATGTAGCATTAAAATGATAATGGTTACACCCAACAATATATTAAAACTAATAAATTAAGTATAATATGTTAAAAGTTAAAAAACATAACTTTATAAGTAGAAGTAAAGATATTCTTTTAATATTGAAATTTAATATGATTACACTTTATGTTTGATATTTATTTAATCTTACTAACCAATTTATAACCATTATTATGAAGAAATTGAAAAGTCATGAGAGTTTCAAATGAATGTAGTGAAAGAAAAAATACATGAGAGTTTCAAATGAATGTGGTGGAAGAAAAAATGCTAGCTTTATAAGATATATAAATAGATATATAGATATAGATAGATAGATAGATATAGATATAGATATAGATTTGATAAGATCTCCTCAATTTTTCTAACTAATAAAACTAGGATTGTTATAATAAAAAAACCTAGCTAGCAATTGGGGATGAATTACGTATTAGAAAAAAGAATATCCTTTATTTGTTTTAAGCCGTTGTATAAGTTATAGGCTTATAGCATTATTTTTAATATTATATATGAATATATTGTTGTAAATTATCCTAAGAAAATATATGTTTATAATCTCACTCATTCGACACCCCACGTTCTTTTCGCAAAGTCATCACTCATTAGACACTTGGAACACGAAATTCCCAAGTTCCCCTGCAAAAAGTTTCATTCCTCTTACCTCCTTCAATCACCCCTTTCACATCCCAAAAAACCTGAAAAGAATTGATCAAAAATGGCAAAGCTTATAGAGACGTACGCCTGCGTCCCATCGACGGAGCGCGGCCGAGGAATATTAATATCCGGTGATCCGAAAACAAATGCATTTATGTACTGTAATGGCCGATCGGTGATTATCCGGTATCTCGACAGACCATTGGATGTCGAGGTGTACGCAGAACATGCTTATCAAACCACCGTTGCGAGGTTCTCGCCTAACGGAGAGTGGATCGCCTCCGCTGACGTGTCCGGGACGATAAGGATCTACGGTACCCACAATGGATTCGTGTTGAAAAATGAGTTTCGGGTCTTGTCGGGTCGAATTGATGATATCCAGTGGTCTGCTGATGGGATGAGGATCGTGGCTTCGGGTGATGGCAAGGGCAAGTCGTTCGTTCGAGCTTTCATGTGGGTTTGTTTTTCTCGATCACAACTGTTTGTTGAAATGCGCCAATCACATCTTTTCAACTTTTCCCTTCTTTACCTTATTTACACAATTTGGGGGTATTGGTCTTAAATCTGTCCAAATCATACAAACACTTTTGATTTTGATGATGCCTCGTCATTTTCAAATCAGAAATCATTTGGGGGTGAGGCAGGGCCCCATGACATCCTTGCTTCATTGTCACCCCTAAGTCCAATTATTCAAAATCGACATCTTTCTTTATCTGGAAAAATTATGAAAATGTCAACCTTTTGATCTTCTACCATTATAGATACTCATTTCAACAGTCTTATACAGGTGGGATTCTGGAAGCAATGTTGGAGAGTTTGATGGGCATTCAAGGAGAGTTCTAAGCTGTGCATTCAAACCCACAAGACCATTTCGCATAGTCTCATGTGGAGAGGACTTCTTGGTCAACTTCTATGAAGGACCACCATTTAAGTTCAAGCAATCACATAGGTCTGTACTTTGTATTACAACAACAGATAACAGATTCCATCAAACACATAAACTTTCTACTCAAATAAACTTACAGTATCACATGACACAAATCCTTATGTCACATTTAGTACAATTCTAGTGTTCATCGGTATTCTCACATGCAGGGATCACTCAAATTTTGTCAACTGTGTAAGGTTTTCACCTGATGGCAACAAATTCATCACTGTAAGCTCTGACAAAAGAGGCCTGTTATATGATGGAAAAACTGCAGAGGTCAAGGGTGAATTGTCTAAAGAGGACGCCCACACAGGTAGTATATATGCTGTAAGCTGGAGTCCCGATAGTAAACAGGTAGTTAATCTCCTTTTCTTTTCTAAACTCCACAAAAAATGTTATTTTTCTATGTAATGCTTTTGAGTTCAAATTTAGGGTTCTCTTTTTTTCCTTTTTATTTGTAGGTGCTAACTGTATCTGCTGACAAAACTGCAAAAATATGGACAATATCAGATGATTTCAATGGAACACTTTCAAAGACTTTAACTTGTCCAGGATCTGGTGGAGTTGAGGACATGTTAGTTGGGTGTCTATGGCAAAATGATTATATAGTTACTGTTTCTCTTGGTGGGACCATATATATATACTCTGCAAGTGATCTTGATAAAGATCCAACGATTCTGTGTGGACACATGAAGAATGTTAATTCACTAGCTGTGCTTACAAAAGGGCCAGAAAAAGCCATTCTTTCTAGCAGCTATGATGGCTTAATATTCAAATGGCTTCGAGGATTTGGCTACAATGGTAAGTTAGAAAGAGGTGACAAAAATCAAATCAAATGTCTCGCTGCTGTTGATGAAGAAATCATGTCTTCTGGATTCGACAATAAGGTAATTCAATTTCTTTCACGATTTAGGGTTTAGGGTTTGTTATCTGACAAGATCTTGTAATAAACAGATATGGAGGATTCCGTTAAATGGAGAAGAATGTTCAGAAGCAGATATTATTGACATTGGGAGTCAACCGAAGGATTTGAGTTTGGCTATTAATAATCATGAACTTGCATTGATTTCAATTGAGACAGGTGTCGTTCTTCTGAAAGGTACGCAGCTGTTAGCAAGTGTTGAGCTTGGATTTACTGTGAGTGCATGTGCTATTTCACCTGATGGAGACGAAGCGATTGTGGGAGGGCAAGATGGTAAATTGCACATGTATTCAGTGAAGGGAGATACTCTTTCAGAGGAAGCTGTTCTTGAGAAACATCGAGGTGCTATTACTGTGATTCGTTACTCTCCTGATGTTTCCATGTTTGGGTCTGCTGATGCAAATAGAGAAGCTGTTGTATGGGATCGGGCCTCCAGAGAGGTACTAGAAATTCCAATTTACAAATTCTAATTTACTAAATTGAAAGAAAAAAAAAAACTTTTATGATTTATTGTTAACTTATGATGTTGTTATAAATAGGTGAAGCTGAAGAACATGCTATATCATACAGCTCGTATAAACAGCTTAGCATGGTCTCCTGATAACAAAATGGTGGCAACAGGATCTCTTGACACGTGTGTAATTGTGTATGAAATAGATAAGCCAGCTTCAAGCAGAACAACTGTAAAAGGAGCTAACCTTGGTGGGGTCTACTCAGTGGCATTTGTTGATGAAAAAACTGTCATAAGTTCTGGTGAAGACGCGTGTATTCGTTTATGGGAGATAACTCCACAATAAATAACAATCAAAATTTACAAACAAACGTTTCTTGATGTCTTTTTCTTCTACTTTTTGTGAAGCTGGTTTTGCAATTAGCCCAAGGTTTTTAGTGATGTTTTTGTGGAGGACTTATTGGATTAAAAGTAAGGTTTTGGTGCACAAATTCGTGTATTTTGCTGAGATTTCAGGGGAATGGAGGACTGGGTCAATTGGAAAAGAGATGCTTCTTGGAAGCTTGATGATCGAAATCTTGTTGGTTTTTTTTTTTTTTTTTTTTTTTTTAAATGTAATAAATGTGTTTTTGGTGTGTTTTTTTATGATGAATGATGAAACCTTTTGGTTTGATTCTCAAGTGGTTAAGTTGTGTTTTGAGACTTGAGTTTCCACTTTGTTTATGAAATATCATTTGGTGTTTTGAGTTTCCACTTTTCCACCAATTGAAAACAGAGAATCAAAAGTGTTTACCTTTGCATCATGAATGTAGGTGATGGATACTCGTTAACACAACCTTAACATTGTGTTTCATCTTTTCAACTTTCATTATGGTATACACTTCCATAATAAACCCATGACATAAATGATAAATTGTTTATATAGAATACACACACATACATGAATTTGGACCCAATTTACTTTCATTCGGATTCAGTATGTAGTTTATCGCATGTATTCTACAGCCCATATAAAACGTCACCATCACTTGTACGAGAGCTACAAGACATTTTGTTTGTAACATTTTTTGATTTTGTCTTTATTAAAATACAAATTAAACATTTAGTTAATAATCAAATATTTTAGTTTAATAATATAAATATATAATCACATGCTCCACTTTTAAATGGAGTAGTAAATTTGAGTAAGTTGTAAACATGAAGTCCATGACCCAAATCCTAATAGTCACCAAGTCACTGTCTCAAGTAGCAAAATTGCAAGTTGGAGGTAGAAAATGAGATACTTGAAAGTACAGGGTTCGTAAAGTATCAACCTTTAAAAGTAAATTCCCCATTTTCTCTAAACTCTGTATCTCGGAAATCATGTTGATCCATCCGTTAATTGTTTGATTTCCCGTCTCCGCTGCGGCCTTCTTCCACCGGGACGCTGCCGGAGTCACTGTTCATCAGAAACTCCTCCGTTTCAGCTTGACTTCTGAAGAATAAGGTGTGCTTACTGTTCTCTGTTTCATGATTTCGATGTCGTTATCTGTTGACCTTTCACTAATTGCTATCTGGATACTTGATTGATTGAAACTGCACAAACAATAAGAAGTAAAAAAAGCTAAAGAAAACTATTTGTCTACTAAGAAAAATCGATGTGTGTTCTTACTGTGTAAAGTCATGCAGTCTATCTGTTTGATCAAATGCCTCTGAGAACTTTTCGTAGCTTATGCAGCTTTTCGATCTAAGAAAATAGCAACGCTTTGATTCATCCATGGCAGGTTTGAAGGACCTTCAATGTCTTTACGCAGACCTCCACTTCCTCGATTACTTCTCAACAACGTTTCTTGCATGAGAAACGCTCAACAAATCTTACGCCATACAAACATCTCAATTCACGATGGTGGAGCCCTAGTACTCACCGGAGCAAACGGCTCCGGCAAGTCTACCTTCTTACGAATGCTCGCCGGATTCTCCAAACCATCAGCTGGTGAGATCCTATGGAATGGCCATGACATAACTGAGTCAGGAGTTTTCCACCAATATAAACTTCAACTCAACTGGCTCTCACTCAAAGAAGCCATTAAATCCAACTTCACTGTTCTTGACAATGTTCAATGGTTTGAAGTTCTTGAAAGTAAACAAGGAAAATCTTTACCTGCTCTTGAGTTCATGGGGCTTGGTAGACTTGTCAATGAGAAAGCACGGATGCTTTCAATGGGTCAAAGAAAAAGATTGCAGCTTGCAAGAGTTATGGCCATGGATAGACCGATTTGGCTGCTTGATGAACCTTCTGTTGCTTTAGATGATGAAGGTGTGAAGCTTTTGGAACAGATGATTGCAGATCATAGGAGCCAGGGTGGAATAGTCATTGTAGCTACACATCTCCCGATTGAGATTCAAGATGCTATGATCTTGAGATTGCCTCCCAGGTTTCCAAGAAGGATAACTTTAGTAGACATGCTTCCTCATTGAGGTGAGTTGATGAATTTACCCTTTTGAGCTTTACATTATTTCCTGTAATTGTTTCTCATAATGATATCATAGGTCAATTGCTTTTCTTGATGCCTCTATTATTTGATTTCATAAAGTAGAAACTGAAAAAGCACTATTGATCCTCCATGACTCTTGTGTTTCTTAATGATAGATGAAGAGCAATCGATTTTAGAGTCTCATATGGCTTCTAGCATTATCTTTAAAATTTAAATGGTTGATAATGTTGTGACTTAAATTAAGCAATTAGGAAAGGTTCCATTATATTATATAATGAAAGGTTTCTTATTATTATTTGATTAGGATGATTTCAAATGCTATTGTTTTTTCTTTACTATGAAACCTTTTGGGTTAATTGTCTTTTTTAACATCCATAAATCAAGATTATATGTTTTAGCCTACAGCGAATAAATATCTATTCTTTTTATTAAATTAATTTATGGTGTTATTTGGGTTTTCGGATGTAGGTAATTAATCATGACGTTGGTGATTTGAGTGGATAATATCCCTAGTCTTAAACTTTTATAAGGCATGACGAAAAACCTAGAGTCCTTGCTATTTTAGAGTTTTTGTCCTTAATTGGTGAATTTATATGTCATTGGAGTTAAATGGCAGTTATGACCATTTGGATGGGTTTTGGTGAAAACTGAGGATTTAAGCAACTATATTATGAAATAAATTAATTGGTGATAGAAGTTGTTATAATTAAAGACATTAAAACCCTAATTAGCTTCCTTTGTCAAAATCAAACTTAGAGGGATAGAAGAAAGCTTACGATTTTGAGTTCATGGTGGAGGAAGGATTCATTTTTGCTTGGGGATCGTTCATGTGGCGATTAAGAACACATATACCCTGCTTAAACATAGTTTTGAAAACCATTTACATAGTAAATTGTGGATAAAGTCCCATAAACTTCAAAGTCTATTAACAAATTGAAAATAAGTTGTCAAAAGAGTATTCAAGGGCATCACAATCCAAAAAAAGAAAAATAAATAAGTTGTCTAAACTATATCAAACATATCCTAAAATAATCTTCTCCAAGTTGACACTATAAGATTGCTACTAACTAGAGCACATATCAAAATAGTGTATTAGGCTTGGGAAACATGATGAGTAATGATGAAGTTAGACTTACACAAGTAGACATAAATGTAGGTTCATTCAAGAACACCATAAAGTTGAAAATGCGAGAAAGGATCACAACAGTCTAAATTTGAAGAACCGGGCTATTTTTAAGATGTCATCTAAGTAAATTTTAAAACTAAAATAATTAATTTCTTATTTTTAAATTAATGTTAATTGTTAAGGGTATTAAAGTAATTTTATTTTTATTTGTTTCCATGAAATCATGTACTTTAATTAAGATTATATATATATATATATATATATATATATATATATATATATCTATATCTATATATATATATATAGGTTAATGTGAGACGGTCTAATTTTGTGAGACCGTGAGACGCAATCGTAGCCACTCATTTTGTAGATAAAAAAAACATTTTTAAATGCAAAATAATTGAAAATTTTTGATTTTTTTTTAAATATTATTTTCGTCATTTATATTTTCCAAAAAAAAAAAAATTAAAAAAATAAAAAAGTTACCGTTTTTTTACATAATCTTGTAGAATATTAGAATATTTTACATATCTGAAAAATTTAGTAGAATACTAGAATATTCTAACATTTTAAAAATCACATTAGAATATTTACAGTGTAATATTCTATTTGAATATTTCACGTATTAAAAAAAAAACGGTAATTTATTTATTTATTTATTTTTTTAGATAAATAAAATGACGAAAATAATAATTAAAAAAAGAATTTTCGGATTTTTCCTTTTATTTTGCATTTTAAATTTGTTTTTAGATTGCGTCTCACGGTCTCACAAAATTAACATGGTCTCAAATGTACCTTAACCTATATATATATATATATATATATATATATATATATATATATATATATATATATATAAGTAAATTAGGGTTCTTCACACTGATGAATTACAAAAATATTCACCACCTCAACCAAATCCAAGTTCTTTCTCCTGGTTCCCTCGTATACTTGCCGATAGAGGTGGTAAAAACTGACACGTCATGCTAACCCGACACTAAACAAATGGGTTTAGGTAAGATGTTTCAACCTGTTTAATTAAACGGGTTGACACGAAACAACACAAAAATTTAATGGGTAATGTTAGAGTTGAGAATTTCAACTTGAAAATGACCCGATTATTTATATGCAAGTTTTTTGAATTTTTTAAATAAACTATAAAGACCCCAAAACCAAAACCATAAGTAAAAGAAAACCTTTGGGTTTAGTCGCCTTGTAAAGTAGAAATGACTTAGTTGTCTAGGTCAAAACATAATTTTCAGTTTTTTTTTCTCTCCCAAACTACACAGTCCCCTTGACCACTACCTTCTCCAAATGATCATGCCCTACGCCTCCCTAAACTCTTACTCCTATTTTGCCTTCTAAACTTACTATGAATTTAGTCATTCCGCCTCCCAACTATTACCTCTTACTTTTTCAACAATCAACATGTTTAGTGTTTCAACCTCACATGACACAACACATTTCAAGGTATACCCCTAACTCGGAACCCGACACGAACTCGACAGAAATAAACGGGTTGACATGACACAACGCGTTAATTAAACGAGCCACGTTAATTAAACGAGTCGGGTTAGAGTTAAGTTCATTCAACTCGTTTACTGTTTCAACACAAAACAAACCCAACACGTTACAACACGTTTGCCAGGTATACTCACCAATGCTTCACCCTTCACCTCCCCAATCACCGGAAACACTTCACGTAGTAACATACCAGAATCTCTTTTACTCCTGTTAGGTGTGTCAAACCCAACAAATAAATGGGTACAAAATGACTCCAAGAACACTATTACTTTGCACTTAAAATGTAATACAAGATAAGCAAGATCGATCTACAGAGACACGAAACAAGTGCTTATACATTTTTTGCGTAAGGTACAAATGTGGTCACAAAAGTGAGGGGGGTTTTTATGCACTGATTTAAGCAAGAGACTAAAGTAATAAGTAAATGATTGATAAATTCAGGATTTGTAAGTACTCCAACTCTATGCAAGAAAAATTAGTAATGTGATTCAATGGATGAAATGATATTTGTTCAATTTGATCTAAGTTGGTACTTGGAAATGCTAACAAGCTCTAGCACTTCCCATTTACCACATTGATTAACCAAAATAAGCTCTTTGATCAATCCTAACCTTACCAATCTAATCTAAACAAGCTCTTAGAGTTAGGTTGAAAGATTGCATTAAACTTTATGTGAATGTTCCCAACAACATTCAATACTTCTCACAAGCTCGGGATCATAAGAATGTGTGAATAAGATTTACACTAAATTCATTTAATAGAAATCAATTTAGTGCTTGTTACCTAGTCCAATTACAAAACAATTACGGATTTTGCAATTAGATAACTTGAATGACCTAATCCTAATTCAAATTGCCAATAAGAATCACAATTAAATCAAACATTCGATTGAAATGAAACCAAATTCACTAGATAAAAAGTAAAAACAAACATCAAGTCACATGATTGAAATCACTCCAAAATGTAAAGACATAAAGATGGAGAATCTAGGGTTCTAGCCACACATGACTAGAACAAGAACACAAATCTAGAAAATGAAGTTAAAGTTCTTACAAAATGAAATCCAAATAAAATCCAAGTGTTTCCAAGTGTTAATTGACTCCAAAATCCACCAGAAAATCGCCCACAAAGCTCCCAAAATCGACAGGACCAAGTATGAAATCGGTTACACCTTTTAAGAGAGAAGAAAAACTGCTTTTTAACCCACAACCACGTTTACACGACCCGTGTAAATTAACATTGTCGTTTACACGACCCGTGTAATTGCAAAAGTAGACTGCTTAGTTTGGTTGGGCCTTCAAAGTGCGTTGCTGAAGAATCTTCGTTTACACGGCCCGTGTAAACTCAAGGCTATAGTTTACACGACCCGCGTAATTCCCTACATTGCTAAAATTTTCAATTCTTCAATATCTTCATCCCCGGTGCTCCGCAAGTTGTGGAATTTTGTCTACATCTCTTATTTATCTCCCTAAACAAGATCCTACCCCAAAAGTCCCTGAAATATCACAAAAGTGTGTGAGTGAAATAATGTCATGGAAAATCCCGAAAAACATATAAATGCATGAGTTTAGCTTAGATGCAATGCACTTTTTATGAAGTAAAACTACAAAACGGGTGCATGAAATGCACTTAACAAATCTCCCCAAGCTTGAACCTTTCTTGTCCCCAAGAAAGAACAAGAAAAGTTTAGACCGGAGAGAACAAAAGAACGAAGAACAAAAAATCAAAATCCAAAACTTTTGAAACTTAATGCAATAACCAAAACAAACATGAAAGGAATCCAATCCAAATAACCTCATTTTTGTAGCATAGTTGAGAATGTACCTGTCGTGACTTGAGTCAACTTGGCATTAATCCCACAATATTTTATAACAGTAAAAACAAAACTTTTGACCACTCCCTAATGCAACTCAACAAAATCAAAAGTCACAACACTTGTTCACTCTTACTAGAATTGAGTCAGCACATGAAACAAATTATGGTCTTACTCTCATGAAAACACATGTGATGAAAAGTATGCTCAACCATCTTTATTTTACAAAATATGTCAATGACCAACTCCAGCTATTTGTTGATTAACAACAATTTTTTTCTAAAAAATTCCCTAAAATTTACCTAGATTGGTTACATATTTCAAACCACTTACACCAGCCAAAGTAGATAACATTCAGTCCCAATGTCATAAGTTCAAGTCCAAGTATAAGGGAATCTTTTGGCAGCCAATCATTTTTCCTAACTTGAGTACATATAACAATGCATATTATTCAATTAAACCATACACTTAAATATATACATTCCATCTAATTATATTTCCTACAAATAAAGCTCATGGCTTTCTTTGAAATCCATGTAATGGGCTTCCAACCAACACATCCAGACCATATGACCTTAGTGTACTAGATTTAAAGAGATCCATCGGGTTTACTTTCTATGGAACTCGTGTAACGAACTTTCAACCCAATCAGTCCCAAACAATTCAGCTTTAGGCGATTAGGTGTAGAACACCCCTCGTAGTTTACTCATTCGAGTACCATAGGTCACAGATTAACTTAATAATTTTTTTAGATAATTAAAAGCTAAGACAACACATAATACTCTTTTTAGTTTATTTGCTAGGCTTATTTCTTTATATTTCCGTCCTTGACTTTTCTATTGTTGGAACATCTCACGGTCTATTACCGTGAGGGGCTTCTAAGAATTTTTTTTGGGGGACTGATGTTAACACACAAAGGCCCATAAAGGACTTTTTAGAGTGCTGGGAGGCTCGGGCCGCTGGAAATTATATTCTTTTTATGATTTATTGAATTTGGCATTTTGGGTCCAATTGAGCACTTACTATTCATAAGTCCAGTCACGTGTCCCAAAGGTTGACTCATACCTGTCGTTATGCTCCGGTGTTGAAAATCTTTTCATTTTCTGTTTTGCACGAGTAGCTTCAGGAGTTGTGTTCATGTGTGATTCACTTGCTTTGAGATTTTCAATAAAAAGAGCAAGTCTAATATCAAG